TTTAGGTTCGTCATTTGCAAATTTGAGGACACTAATAACTAACTCATGTATTTGCAGGGAGAATTAAGGAAGACAGCATATCTGGAATAATCTAATGAAAGCAGGCATCGCAAAATGTGAACTGCAGTCTAATAAGGCTCCATACCCCAGCAGTTGTGTAGGGGAAAAATCACATCCCTACTCTCGCTCACCATCATGTCACTTCTTTCTTGGAGGTTTTTTTCTCCCCCATCTCCCAATACGGCATAGAAGAGGTAAATGTCTCCTATTATAATCAGCCTCAAAGCCTATTCCAGGAGTTGCTCATTTCTGTTAACAGCTCCACCATTCTCCCTCCAACCAGACTTTGATGTCTGAAATCATCTTGTATGTCTCCTCTCTTCTCTTGCTCATTTAGGTTTTCTGTTTTGTTTTGTTTTTTAAATATATTTTTATTGATTTCAGAGAGGGAAAAAAAGGAAGAGAGAGATAGAAACATCAATGATGAGAATCACTGATTGGCTGCCTCCTGCATAACCTTGATGAGAGAGAATCACTGATTGGTTGCCTCCTGCACAACCCCACTGGGGACCGAGCCTGCAACCTGCGCATGTGCCTTCGACCGGAATCGAACCTGGGACCCTTCAGTCTGCAGGCCAATGCTCTATCCACTGAGCCAAACCAGCTAGGGTCTCTTGCTCATTTGTGAAGTCCTGTTCATTCCACCTACACAATAGCTTACCAGCCATCCCCTCTTCTACATTTCCACTGCCTAATCCTAGTCCAGTCCCCAGTACCCCTCACTATATCATCCCAGTAGTTTCACAATTCATTTCCTACATCAATATTTATGTGTCCTGCATACAAATGTCAGATATGGCAAAATACTTCTTAAACAAAAATATCTTTTTAAGGCTATTCAATAGTTATTCTACTAGGTTTGAAATGACATCTCATTATGGTTTTAATGTGCATTTCCCTGATGTCTAATGATATTGAATGTTTTTTCATGTGCTTATTGGCCATTTGATCATCTTTTCTGAAGTGGAAATTTATGGTTTTTGAAAACCTGAAGTATTGGGTTGTTCATCTTTTAATTATTCGTTTATATATTAATGATTAATATTCATCAGACATGTGTATTACTATTTTTTAACCAGGCTGTGGCTCACTTTTATACAATGGCATCTTTGATGAAGAAAAAAAAGACTATTCAATATTGCATCACTATTCACTGAGTTAAGTCCTCAGCTTTGCATTCAAGCTGATCAGACAATGAATCCAATGTATACCTCCAAACTAACTTTGCACTAAATTTCTTGGGTACTTACTATGCTTCACATACTAAAATGAGCACTAGAAATAAAAAGGTGAGGAATTCACCTCCTATCCTCAAGAAGCTCAGAATCTAATAGGGAAGACAGACATCAAGAAAAGAAGAAATACCCCATACAAAATGAGGTGTTTTAGAAAAGGTCTAACAGGAAGGTGTGAGCACAAAGAGAATGCAATAGAACTGATGCTGTCACAGGGGACTGAGGGAATAAGAGTTGGAATAGCTTCACTATTGTCAAAGAGGAAAGGGATTAAAGAAGCAAAAGTGGGAGGGAAAATAAAGATAAAAGATATAGAATCCCTACCATTTATCAACCTCCCCCCCCCCAAAGCAGTGGTTTTAAACTAAAGACAATTTGGACCCCCAGGGCAGCATAAGAAAAAATTTCTGACTGTCACACTGGGGAGAAGGGATATTACTGTCAAGCAGTGGATAGAAGACATTCTACCTTACACAGGACAGCTCTCCACCCCCCCGCCCCAAAAAACCCACAAAAAACAAAGAAGGATCCCATCAAAAATGCAAAATGCCAATGCAGTTCTGAGGTTGAGCAACCCTGGTCTAGCGCCACAAGGAACAGGAATTAAAGAGGGGATATAGTTGAGATAACTCCAGTTGGAACACTGACGATACAGTGATGGCAAGGAAGGAGAATGAGTTATGCCTGGACAACCTTGCTCAAAAAAACCAAAGAGGAGAAAGCAAAACCGAACAGAGAGCAAAGCTATTAACAAATGATCCACATCTCCTGCTCATGAACAGAGACAGATTTGATTGTCAAGTCAAGACAATCAACTGTGAGGGGATGGAGAAGATGGGGACAAAGAGGCTGAAGCAGAAGCCAGCAACACTTCCTGTTACACATCATCCGATTCAACGCAGGTTCACTACACAGCGGGTATCAGATGTCCCGGGGGAAACACAGAGATAAATGAATCACAATCCACGCCTGCAAGGAGGCTGTATTTCAGTGGGAAGAATTAGATAAGTACATAAGTTATTATAATAAAAGGGAAAATAAGACACATGTCCTAAGAGAAACACACTGGGATTCAAATACATGCATCTTGCAAAGATTCAATGTAGGAAGAAAGGATAATTCTACTTAGTATCTTCTTGAATTTCCAGTGAAAGAAAAAAGTCATAGGACAGTGAATTCTCCGTTTTTGTTTGCAAAGCCATAGTAAACATAATTAGCAACATAAAATATCTTTACTTCCAAATAGCCCAATTGCTAACAACAACCTACCAAGGGTAAAGCAGGATCCTTCTATAGAGTATCCCTGCAGAGATCTGGCTTTCTGTTGAGGGACCCATGAAAAAGTTAGTTCCCATATCCTAGAGAAAGTCCTGCATTAAGAACTTAGTTGTTTGTTTTTTTTTAACTTTGGGTGGATTTTATTTCTCCTAAGATTAGAAATAACCTCTGAAGGGGCCTCAAATTCAACATGAGAAAATAGTTAGAGAAATCCCTAATGGTCCAGCCAACATACATTTTTCATAAAGTGATTATCTTCCTGCAGCCTCAGCTTCCTAAGCCTTTCCCCCTCCTATAATTGTTTTCCTTGTAGGCCAGGCAACAATTACCACTGCTACAAGACTGAGGAGGTTCACAAGCAATATATTTTACAATACATAAGTGTAGTGTCTCTGATATCTGGTGCTTTTATCACTAATTGCACTATAAAATGCGCTATTAAAACAGGGACAAACAAGATTGTAAAAATCACATAATGGACCATGACCACTTACAAAAGCCATTCATAAATGTTACCATACCATTTCTATTTCTTTAATTTTCCAGATATATAGTTATTTTTCCAAATTCTTACTTCTAAGGGATACCAACAAGAAAAATAATATATTTGGAAATTACATATACATGCTTGCCCTTGAATATACTGTTTTGTAAATTTGCTCAAAGTTAAAATGATATAGAACATTAATGTGCTATGAACACTGAATTCCTAGGGACATTTACATGGTCCCTTGAAAAAAATTATAGGCCTGGCAAATGCACTTAGGCTGTGATTTCTATTCAAACTTAGAGCATGGGACTGAAGACATGAAAATAAGCGCAGAAGGATTTCATAATTCTAATCTATGAAATATACAATATAATAAAGCCAATAAAGCATTTATATCTGTAAAAATCCAGAATGATCAAATATTACTGCCAATTACTGGAGGACATGGGTCACTGGATCTGCCTATAGTATTTCATATGTCATTAGCACTAATTCATGGGCAAATTTTCAAGTTTGCAGGTCAGCATTTCATTGTCTTCACTATTTATTCATATGTCAATCCATTTAAAATAAGGACAATCAGGAATAAGAGAGAATAAAAATAGAAGTATTTGTGTTACCCATTAATAATTCTAATGAATACTTAGATGGAATTAGAAATTTTATGCAGTGGCCCAGCCGGCGTGGCTCAGTGGTTGAGCATCAACCCATGAACCAGGAGGTCACAGTTCAATTCCCAGTCAGGGCATATGCGTGGGTTGCAGGCTCGCTCCCCAGTGTGGGGTGTGCGGGAGGCAGCCGATCAATGATTCTCTCTCATCATTGATGTTCCTATCTCTCTCTCCCTCTCCCTTCCTCTCTGAAACCCATTAAAGATATATATATATATAGATTTTTTAAAAGATGGAATTTTAAGTTGCGACTCAGATGAAATATTGGGATTGTCTCTAAGTTTCATTACCCCATTACCAGAGACAAACTAGTTCTAATAATACCAGAGAACACAAATACCACACACCAAATAGTGGCTAGCCCCAACAACACTAAAGATAAGTAACCAATTAATGAACTGGGATTGTTTCTTCTTTTAGTGGGATCATTTTCTTTTAACTGAAAAAGAAACAGATGCTTCGATCTTAAGTGTCAGCAAGAACGTGTGACTGAGCTGGGGTCGGACATTAAAATGCCATCACTTGTGCAAGTCCACTGTACCTAGTCTCAAGTATTTTCTTCAGTCCCTTTTTCTTATTGGTATCCCTTAGAAGTAATGGCCCAACTTCACTAAAATCAAAACCTACTTTTAAAACACATTGATAAGCTGCAATTACAGACATCTTAATTGTGTACCTAAATTATTATGTTTTTCTCCTAGAGATATTAGCTAGTGCTCAATCCTTCAAAAGGAAAACTGTCAGAAAGCCAAGAAGATATATTATATATAAAACATTTCCTCTAGCCCTGGCCGGTTTGGCTCAGTGGATAGAGCATCAGCCTGCGAACTAAAGGGTCCAAGGTTCGATTCCGGTCAGGGGCACATGCCCAGGTTGTAGGCTTGATCCCCAGTGGGGGATTTGCAGGAGGCAGCCAATCCATGATTCGCTCTCATCATGGATGTTTCTATCTCTCTCTCCCTCTTCCTTCCTCTCTGAAATCAATAAAAATATATTTTAAATAAAAATTTCCTCTCACTTTAGGAACTGAAATCACTGAATTCAGTAGCAACCATGTTAAAATATTTTTAATGGTAAGAATAATTTACTTTTCAAAATGCCGAATACTCATAATACTATAAAACTATGTTGGCTAAGCCTAAATTTCCATCAGAAGATTATTTTTCACCAGCTCCTCTCCCAAAATTATTCCCTGAGACATGCCAAAGCTGTGTTACTAAATGAAGTTAAAGGGGGCAAACACACGAGCCCACATCCAAAACTTACTTTGTCAGATGCCTCAGAAGCCAAGAGGTTAGTTGCAAGGGTTTGTAGCTTATGATGGGCCATATTCTTCAGAGCAGCAAGGCTCCGTCTTGTCACGGCTTGTTTCAGGTTCACTGCCGGATGACTAAGCGAATCAACTGCGGCAGGAACCGCTTCATCACAAGCATTCAGTATCTCCACGGCCGTTATCCCCATCACACAGCGATCCAATGCACCTGCAACACATATTACACATATTACACACACCATACAATTTTAAATAGTTTAAGACCAAAAAAAAAAAAAAAAAGCAGGGACTTTTTTATGTAGAAATATGTTTTAACAGTGCCTCCCGGAAACATTTTCTTGTATTTCCTTCCTCTAATGATCTCCCATGTAGCATTACCTTTATTGTGTCCCTTCCCGTAAGGCCCCTACCACAACTTCCCAACAAAGGCAAGTTCAGAGCCAAGATTTTAACGACCTCCCCCAGGCTTTTCCACTTTCTCTACTCTTCCAAGATGGTCTCCTCGATCAATCCACACCATTACTCTACTACGAACATCAAAGCCCATGACTTCACCTTCCTCTAAATAAAAACAAAACAAAACACGAAGTTTTCTATTTTTCCAGTTTATTCTACTTAAACAATTCCTGAAGCTTTTCTTTCTCTAGGAAATCACTAAACGG